TCTCTCTCTCTCTCTCTCTCTCATATACACACACACACAGATACACATAAATATATATCTTTGGGACCAAAGCTACCTTTCCCTTTTATTCAGAAGATATATCATTTGATATATTCATGGCGACCGTGGAGGAGCAGAAGAGGATGTATTTTGATTCGAAAGATGCGTTGGCCATGGTTGAGGAGCTGAGGGCCAGTTATAATTCCGGCAAGACAAGAAGCTACGAGTGGAGGGTGTCGCAGCTGAACAACCTCGTGAAGGTGGCGGAGCACCACGAACAAGAGATCGTCGATGCTCTTCACTCTGACCTCTCCAAACCTGAATTTGAAGCCTACGTTCATGAGGTTAGGTTCCTCTCTCTCTCTCTCTCTCTCCCCGACTAATCTTTGTGTGTTTTTTAATTTATCATTTGGTTTGGTTTTGGGTTATTATTGATAATGCATGTGAGAGAGAATATAAGTTGGGCTGGACCAGGTGGTATGGGTAGCTGCCCAATTTGGTAAATATTGCAGCGATATATTCGTCATTTCAATTTTCAACCATTCACCAAAAACTGCTAAAGTTTCAAAGAAAATTAGCTGTTTTGATGCGTCTACAATACACAAGTATTAATCAATTAAAAAAAAGATCTATAAGGATGAAATGATATTGGGTAATTCTAGGAAGGCTAAATTTGTAAACAAAATTTTATAAACTAAATGACATGAAAGTTGATGATTGGTGACACCATTTAGTTTGCAAATTTTGTTTAGAAATTTAGTCTTCCTAGTATTACCCAATGATATATGAAGGTATCATGAGTTTGTAAAGGTGAGTTTGATGATCAATATTTAGTTTCTGATCATTCTAGCCAATTACTCAAGTTTCATACATATTTTAGCCAATTTCCAAAGTGTAAGTATAATTCATTAGATGTGTAGTTTTATACAACAGATCTTTATACAATTAGTAGTGAAATGATTCATATTTAATTCATTGAAAATTTCCAGGGTGAAACTATATATATATATATATATGTGCTTCAATAAAAAATAACTGACACAAAACTTATATAACAAAGATATAGTGATTGCTTTTCTAGCTGGGTGTAAAAATATAGATAATTTGGTCTAACGTGCATTCGTTTCTTTTGGTAATAAAATTTAGAGAATGTTAACATGTCAACTTGATTATTTTGACAAGTTTTAATACAAATATCGTGAATAATAATTTCGATATCAATTTATTTTCATAAACAGCTTTTTTTCTGTTGCACTGATGTGGCATAACAGAAAGTCTGCTAGCTAGGCTACTATACATGTTGAAACTTGAAAGTGTGAAAAGTTCAATTACGTACGCAGACGCAGATCATTTCTGGTGGTACATGTCTTCCATTTCAAAACATTGCTTCATTGTTTGAGTTAATTTGCATGTGAAGTGTTTAAATGTTTGGAGTGCTCGTGCTTCATGGTTTTTGAGTTTTCATGTGGTAGATGGGCGTGTTGATTTATTTGTTCTTGAAAACATGTGGGGAGCTAAAGGAGCTTAAAATTATATTATGATACTGGAATACTGTTACATATACATAACTTATTTATGCGTTATGGTAGAGACGTTCGTTTACGTAATGTTATCATGGTAACACCATATGTAAAAATTTTGGTATCACACAATAATTTATGGAGTTTATAAAACATTTTTCTCAAAGATACAAATTTGGATGGGGTTATTCAAGTTGTTAATGATGAGGATTGAATATATAACCTAATCTAGGGTTTTGAATGGTCCTTTTGTGGGTAGAATGGTCCCTTAATTTTTTTTAGAGGTCCCTTAATTAATTAAGTAGTGAATCTTGTGATGATGTTACTTGTTAGGCTTGATTTTGTCATGTCACCATTTGTGATGCATAATCAATAAATTGGCTTACGAAATCGATTTTCATGTGATAATCACAAAATAAGATGAGAAAGTTGTAGATTTAAGTTCCAACCCCAAGATTTGTATTAGAGAAAATAGTTAGGTAAATTTCACTAGTTTTACGAGGAGATCAAGGATAACAATCTACTTAAATATATCAATACACTATTGAAATAAAACGTCACTACCACGGTGAATCGGTTTCGTAAAGCCCTATGTAATGGTTTGTGACTAATGGATGAGGATCCTTCTCACATCTTATATGTTCATCGTACATAATGGTTAGTTTTTATTAGGTACTATTTGCGTTTAATTTTAAATAAAAAATTCAAAACGATTTATGGCTGCACGATGTACGATGAACAGATAGGATTTGAGGATCTCTAGGATCCTCACATAGAGGATCCGAATGAGATCCAAATATGTGATTACTGGCTCATGGGTTCCATTTATGATGACCTGGCCATTCTTTTTGGAGCATTAGTCCCTTCCCTCCAATCCCTTCACATCTTCTTTCACCTTCCTCTTTGTCTTTCTATCTCTATAAAAAAGTCAACATAAAATATTAATATGGATTAATTATGACTGTTCAAATAGGATGAGACTGAAGGGAAAGAGGATTTGGAAGGGAGCGAATCATACTCTATTATTTTTCTATTATGTTATAACGAAGATTTCCAGCTGTATATCAACTCATGATATTCATGATGGGTTATTCACTTGAATTATTGACAACGTTGTACTGAGTCTACTGACTAAAGAATATTAACGTTTGCTTTTGCAAGAGTTTCAGAGTTCAAATTTCTATTGTGATAGAAAAATATTAATTTTTTAAATATTTTTCACACACCACTAAAAAAATTAAAAAGTGTGGGAGAAGTTGTCACATCCTAGCCCGGGCCCCACCACATCCCGGTCCCGCTCCACCACCATAACACGATATTGTCCGCTTTAGGCCCCTACCACACCCTCACGGTTTTGATTCTGGGAACTCACACGAGAACTTCTCAGTGGGTCACCCATCATGGGAGTGCTCTTGCGCGCTACTCGCTTAACTTCGGAGTTCCCATTGGAACCCGAAGCCAGTGAGCTCCCAAAAACCCTCGTGCTAGGTAGGGATGAGAATATACATATAAGGATCACTCCCCTGGACGATGTGAGATCTTACAATCCACCCCCCTTAGGGGCCCGACGTCTTTGTCGGCACACCACGGTCAGGGTTAGGCTCTGATACCAAATTGTCACATCCCGACCTGGGCCCCACCACATCCCAGGCCCGCTCCACCACCATAGCACGATATTGTCCGCTTTGGGCCCCTACCACACCCTCACGGTTTTATTTTTGGGAATTCACACGAGAACTTTCCAGTGGGTCACCCATTATAGGAGTGCTCTTGCGCGCTATTCGCTTAACTTCGGAGTTCCAATAGAACCTGAAGCCAGTGAGCTTCCAAAAAGCCTCGTACTAGGTATGGATGAGAATATACATATAAGGATCACTCCCCTAGGCGATGTGGGATCTTACAGAAGTAATTTGAGGTGCGTAAATATAATCTCCCTTTCTATTCTCTAGATCGTATTAAGAAACTTTTGTCTTTTATTTGTTCGTGCTATGCGTTGATAAACTTTCTCAGTTGATAGATTACAGGTATACGTTTATAAAAAACACGCTAAAATGCTGTAGAATGCGTATAAAACATCAATATAAATGAAGACTTATCATTTTGACCATTAAACTTTAATTTAATTGATTTTATAGATTCACCTACCCATTCTCCCACTGAAACTCCTAGACTGCCTAGTGTTGAATTTTGTTTGTTTTTAAACTAACGATATTATCTATATTAAGCGGGTGGAAAAGTAGGCTAAGTCATATAAAGTGGGACTCTCCATAATAGACTCATGTGTCAATATTATAAGCCATTGTGCAAAAAATCTGAGATGGCATAAATCCATAGATAGTCCTACTTTTGAGAGAGTCTCATCTTTTTACTAACCCAAAAAACTATGTTTTTAAATAATTGTGAAAGGTTTAAGTGAGAAATCTTAGGTTCGATTCTCGCCAAATGTGAATTTGAACCACATAATTACTACCATTTTGAGGCTTAATCCACTTCCGATCCTTTAGTATATGTAATATTATTTGTTAAAAAAAAGGAAGATAGGGAGGGATCAAGATCCTCTCCTGATCTTTGTATGGGGATCCTCATGACCAAGAAGTGTGGGCCGTTGGATGAAAATCTAACGGCTACAAACAGGAGAGTCCCTTTAAAGTTATAATAATTATAACCGTTGGATTTTTATCCAACAACCCACACTTCTTGGTCATGAGAATCCTCATACAAAGATCAGGAGAGGATCCTGATCCGATAGGGAGTTGACAATGACTTCAAAATGATGATGTCTTTCGAGATAAGATTTAGCGGAATCATGGGATTTTGAGGTTACCTTTTTTGAGTTGCACTGCATTATCTTTATTTGGTGTGTGAGGGTCCTGGAATCATGGAATTTGCAAAGGTTACATGTTTGTTTTTCCTGGAAAATCGTAATTTGGTTTTCAGTTTTCATCTAGGACTGTTTCCACAATGTTGGATCCTCTGAGATTGAAGCAAGGGATATAAATTCGTAGATTTATCCATCTATATTTCCTACCTTATATAGATTTTTCAAAATTTTCTTTCTTTTGCAGTGCCTTTGGTGCGTTAAACGTTTCAAATCATTGTTCATGTAAAACATTATATCAATTGGTGTAGGACTGATGCTGTTGTGCTCATCTTTTGGGCCTTACTTTCCTCTCTTTGGTTTATAATTTCGTTCCAAACGAACTTTGCTTTTACTCATCTCAACAAATTCATTATTAGAAACAGTCTAATTATAAATGTTCAGGGTAATCACGAAAATTAAGTTCAATGAGGAAATTGACCAATTATAAAAGTTCGAAGGCAATCGGCTAAAATTAAATTTTAAGAGAAAATTGTTCAATTATAAAAGTTTAAAAAGTATTTAATCAGAATTAAAATTTATAAAAAAAATTGACAACTTCTCACAAATTCAAAGAAAAACAGTTCCTCAATTTTTTATGGGGCAAATCAAAATAATTGAGTGTAAAACTTTTGTTCACCGGTCAAACTTTTGTTCTCTTCCTTCGCAAGTTAGATAGGGAGAGATCTTCCCACTTCTCCTTGCCGCACACACTCGATTCATATATACTCACACACACACACACATACGTTATTATTCTATCTATCCGTTTCTAGTTCTACCATGGGTTCAATGGCGATTGAGGAGGAGAAGCAGACGGCGGCCAAGCCTTTCGACGAAGAAGCCGCCTCTGCGGTGGTGAAGGAGCTGAGAGCGTCCTTCGTCTCCGGCAAGACTCGAAGCTATCAATGGAGGGTGTCGCAGTTCAAGTGCATACTCAAGCTCATCACCAAAAACGAGCGGGAGATCGTTGACGCTCTCCGCTCCGACCTCTCCAAGCCCGAACTCGAATCCCAAGTCTACGAGGTCATCCGATTTTCTCATTTAATATCTCACCAACTATCTCTCTCTCTCACATGGTGTTCTGTTTTCGCGCATGTCCATAGTTCATATCTATATGCGCAGTTAAATCATGAATTGGGTTTTGATTACAATTTGCAGAGAAATTTTGGGTCTTGAATTTTTTAGTTGGTTGCTGAATGTTTTAGTGTGCACATGCTGATTGATTGATGCACTTCTCACGTCTCACCAACTCTCTCTCTCTCTTACATGTCAATAATTCATCTCTGTATGCTAAATCATGAATTGGGTTGTGATCAGAATTTGGTGGTTGATGTAGTTCAATACAATACTCTATTATATGCTGATTGCTCACTCAGTTGTTTTGTTACATCATTGCCTAGAAAAACATGCACAATTGATCCCACTAAACAAAAATAAGCATCCACTTTCATTTTCGATTGAAGGTTTGCAAACGGTCTTATTTCTCAATTAGTTCGGTTCTATTTTTGATTAAAAGTTTGTAACTGCTATTTTTTTCTTGATTAGATAGCAGTCTTTTTGGTTTTTGCATTTTCCATTTTCCATTTTCCATTTTCCATTTCATGGACTCTAAATCCGGGTCATAATTTCCAAATTCTTCTGGAATTAGGTGGGGAGTCCTTGTCACGTGTGGGGGTAAAACGTGCTTCTGTCACGTAGTAGTTTTGATGCATTAAGGTGGCACAAGTTAAATCTGTTACTTTACTATGCTCAAAATGATTAGTCAAGTGTTGAGGGAATTTAATGAGCTATGCAGGAAGAAAGTAAAAAGTGGGTGGAGTGGATCACAGGGTTAATCAATGGGGAAAGGGATCGTCTCTGGATCTCTTTCGTCCAATCCTCCTCATCAAATAATCCGGATTCTTAAAATTTGATTCAATGGCTAAAGTTGTTATAACTTTTAAAGTAAGTCCGTGTTTTTAGCCGTTTGATCAAATTTTAAGGGTCCAAATTATTTGATGAGGAGGATTAAGTGGAAGGAATCCGAATAGCATCCCTTTCCGATCAATGACCCCACTTGCACTTTCATAGAAAAAAAACTAGCCAAACTTTACTCTTTGTCTAGAAGTTGCTACTTTTATGGTTGGTGAGTTGTGACAGATGTGCAGGGATCAGATTTAGTGCACAGACAAAATCGTCTCTCACACCATATTTGTGAGGATGCATTCCCTCCATTTGAAAGGCAGCCTTTTTTGTTTTTTTTTTTTGGAAGACTGGGCAACTTTTTTACTTGAATCTTTTTGGCTTTCTTTTTTATCGTGCAATGTTATCTGATGATTAGAATTGTTACATTTCATATCATGCTTTCAAGATCAATTCTGCAAAAATTCAACCAAATTAGAAATAGTTTAACCTTTCGACTAATGTTGTCAAAATTTCAGTGTTTAAATGAGAAAAATGGTAACCAGAAAATGAATAAACGATTTGGGAGTCTGTTTATTTTTTGCATAAAGATCTTTAAATAGTAACCAAGAAAATAGGTGGTCGAAAAAATCGTTTAATATTGTAGGATGAGAAGGAAAGCCTAGCATTTATTTTTTTAAATTTTGTTTGGTGGGGAAGTGGGTAGCCGGGTAGGGCTTTATAATTGGGGTTATTAGTATTAACTCTTGAAAGCAGAGGCGCACATTTCATGTCTGTTGGGTGTCAGGGTAGATCTTGAAAATAGTTAAACCTTGTCTTTTCGAGTAACTGTAATAAGCTAGGTGTTATGCGGAGAAAAGGTAAAGAATGAACCTGCCATAAACCGCATAGGATATCTGCAGAAACTTGGGGAGTCAACTTCTGTTATTTTTATCTATGCAGGACAAAAACGTTTTAAACTATTTAGAAACTTACAGGAATAATCTAACAACAATAAATATGGTTGGGTTTTTTTAAACTTATAGTAGAGATGGATGTTTAAACTTTCAAATTCTTGATTAGGTAAATATGTGCGATGCTAATTCATAGTCTAACGACATAAAGGATATCGAGCAAATATATACACACCTACATACGTATACAGGTATACGTTTGTATTGAATTATAGATATCTTACATATGTACTATTGTGGTTATGGCTCTCTTTTGACTCTATACAAGATGGAGAGGGTGGGTCGGAATCTGAACTGTGGATTTTGTGGTCCACCCGAACCGGATGTTTCTGCACCCGAACAGTTTCGATTGAAAAATTGGCTCTCCCCATTTGGTAAACAAATGGAGAGCATCTTTTTCCAGCCACTGCGTGCTTGTGGTTGTGAACACAATCATTTGGCTCGCCTACAAATGTGAAGTATAAAATTGTTGAAACAAAATGCTCGCCTACATGAATGTTTTATTTGTTACTGACTTCATATGTTGGTTTATATGGTTTTCGTGTAGATATCTATGTTAAAAAACTCGTGTAAATTGGCAATTAAGGAGCTGAAGAAATGGATGAAGCCAGAAAAGGTATGTCTTTGTCAGCAACTCCGATGAATGGCAACCGTTAAGTTATCTTGTTTGTCTACACCGGCATTCTTGAGTTAATCCAATGTTTGTTTCCAATCTAATTTCCGATGAGTAATATTTCCCTTTAACTACAGGTTAAAACTTCGATAGCAGTTTTTCCTGCGTCAGCTGAAATAGTGTCTGAACCGCTTGGTGCTGTACTAGTAATTTCAGCATGGAATTATCCTTTCTGTACGTTTATACCGGACATGTTTTTTTAAGTTTAGGCATTGGGCTCTATAGCCCTAATTAATCCTGTCTTCAGACAAAAGTAATAGTGTAGTATCTGTTTTCCAGTACTGTCACTTGATCCAGTTGTTGGAGCCATTGCGTCTGGTAATGTTGTGGTTCTTAAACCATCAGAACTTGCTCCAGCCTCATCGTCATTGCTTGCAAAACTATTAGGTGAATATATGGATAGCTCTTGTATAAGAGTCGTTGAGGGGGCTGTTGCTGAAACATCTGCACTGTTAGAGCAAAAGTGGGATAAAATATGTTACACAGGTTCTTCGTCATTTTCCTCCCTTTCATTTTCATCTTTCGTTTTCCTTAGATTACAGTTGATTTTTATATAATTGATTGAAAAAAAATGTATATTTAAATTTGTAGGAAATGCAAGAGTGGGACGTATAGTGATGGCTAGTGCTGCAAAGCACCTTACACCTGTTCTATTGGAGCTTGGAGGAAAATCTCCTGTTGTTGTTGATTCTGGCATTAACTTACAAGTATATAGATCTTCCTTCTTGCATACCATCAGTAATATTTGATATATTTTACTTGCTGCTACTAACGGTGTTGTGATTTTCATCTCATCTCATGTAAAACTTATATTTTGTTTCTCCTAGGTTGCTTGTAGGCGAATAATCGTTGGTAAGTGGGGGTGTAATAATGGACAGGCTTGCATCTCCCCTGATTATATCATAACAACAAAAGATTTTGCTCCTAAGCTGGTAAGGTTACCTTTGTATGCCATTGAAGATCTGAATTTGCTTTGCTGTTTATGCCATCTGCGTCATTTTCTTTGTTCACAGGTGGATTCTCTGAAACAAGAATTGGAGAACTTCTATGGAAAGAATCAACTAGAATCAAAAGATTTGTCTCGTATTGTGAATCCTCATCACTTTGCTCGCTTGACGAAGCTCTTGTATGAGGATAAGGTTTCTGGAAAGATCGTCCATGGAGGTGAAATGGACAAAACCAACTTGTATGTATACTGTCTTCGATTGTTCTCTTCTTAGCTCTCTCTCTCTCTCTGTGATTTAATAGGGTGTTATATTGTACCATATGCGTGATTAGTGCTCCTTTCTTTTGATCACAGGAGGATAGCTCCTACCATCTTGCTCGATGTTCCACAAGACTCTTTGATCATGAGTGAGGAAATATTTGGCCCTTTGCTTCCCATTCTCACGGTAAGAAACACAAATTTTGTTGTCCTTGAATTTATGCTCTCAACGAATTTTTTTTTTTCTCTCGATAAAAGATTGCCTTCCCCAATTGATTTAAATAGCTCTGGCAGTCTCACCATATCTAACATGGTTCTCATATGGGTGGGGGTGATTTGAAAGGGAAAGTAGTATGGCTACCATCATTTTGCACAAAAATGTAGGCTGATCGTTGCGTGTTTTAATAGCGGAAACATTTTGAAGGAGCAGCATTCATAGATTGAATTTTTTCTGCATTTTATGCATGCAAGGTTGGAGATCAAATGCAATATCTTCCCTTTTGTTTGTAACAGGTCGACAAAATGGAAGACAGTTTTGATTTGATAAACTCAGGAACAAAGCCTCTTGCTGCGTATTTGTTTACCAACAAGAAGAAGCTGAAGGAGCACTTTGTAAATACCGTCTCTGCCGGTGGTTTGGTTGTCAATGACACTACCATACATGTAAATACTTCGTCCTCAAACTTGTTGAAACAAACCAGTACATGTTCATCCTTTACAGTTTAGGCATTTCCATCTGTTACATATAACACATACGTGCACACTGGTTAACCTATTTCCGTTATTCTGAAATCTGTTTAGAATCTAATTTGGATTATACATACTGGATTGTGCAGCTTGCTGTTCCCTCCTTGCCTTTTGGAGGAGTTGGGGAAAGCGGAATGGGTGCGTACCATGGAAAATTCTCTTTCGACGCTTTTAGCCATAAGAAGGCAGTTGTTTATCGAGGTTTCTTCGGTGATGCTTCCATAAGATACCCACCATACACAAAGGGGAAGCTAAGAATTCTGAAGGCTCTTATCAGCGGTGGCATATTAAGCATAATCCGCGCTCTGGTCGGATGGCCTAAGGCTTAAGAGAAACTAGGATCTGGCTTTGCTCATGTGATTGCTTCTTTCGGTCAGATTTATGGAAGTCTTTCGTCGTACAATATACAAATATGGTTCTGATTTCAATTTGGACAAAGGCTTGATTATTTATGGAAAGGGAGAATGGAAATTGTAAAAGTTGGTGGTAAATATCATAAATTGATATGTTTAAATGTGTTTGTGATTGTATCATACTATCATGTTCCAAAGCTGAAGCGTTTCGTTGTTTTATTCGAGCTATATTTAATTCTGGGGCAAATTATATAAAACTACTTTAACTATTGGTCTCACGACACTTTCATACCTTATCTTTTAAAATTGACAATGTCATACCTCATCTTTAAAATTTGTTCTAATGTTATACCTTCTGTCAGATGTTTGTTAATTCTTCTATTAAATGCTAACGTGGTTTGAGACGACGGAGCCCACTTTTTATTAAAAACTAAAAAAAAAAATCATTTAATATTTTTTAAATATTTAAATAATAAAGAAAAGTGTAAAAAAAAAAAAAGAAAAACCCCAGTTCGTCCCTTCCCCCTCTCATCTTCCATCTTCTCTTCCCCCCTTCTCTTTCTTCTTCCCCATTTGTCTTCCCCCCGCACCCACCCTCAGTTTGTCTTCCCTCCTCTCCACCCCCTCTTCTCCCCCACCTGAGCCCAACCTGCAACCTGTAAAAAAAAAAAAAAAAAAAAAACATCTTCATCTTCCCTGACCCCCCTTCCCTGCAACCACCCCTTTCTCCCCCCCTCCCGTCTTCCCTAAATCCTCCGCACCCACTACCTGCAACCCAGATCCTGTCTACACCGTCGTCGTCGGATTCGTGAGGTGGAATTGGGAAACCCCATTCGCTAGGCCGATCCCGCGGGTGGAGAACCTGGGCGTGGAGAAAATGGGGGGAATGGGTGTGGATTTAAGGAGTGGGCTGTCTAGAGGAGGGAAGAGGGTGGGTGCGGAGGATGGGTGTGGGGGAAAGACGAACTGGGATTGTGGGGTGTGTAGAGGAAGGAAGAGGATGGGTGCGGGGGGAAGACGAACTGGGATTTTTTTTTTTTTTTTTTTTTTTTTTTTTTTTTTCTGGGTTCCAGGTAGGGGGTCGGGGGAAGAAGATGAAGATGGGGGAGAAGACACGAGAGGATGAGGGGAAGGGGAAGGGGTTAGGGAAGATTGGGCTTTTTTTTTTTTTTTTTTTTTAAGGGTAAATTATTATTTTTTTAATATTTTATTAATTTTTTAATAGAAAGTGGGTCTCAAATCAAGCCACGTTAGCATTTAACTGAGAAATTCACGGCCAAGCTAACGGAAGTATAACATTGGACCAAATTCTAAAGATGAGGTATGACATTGTCAATTTTAAAAGATGAGGTATGATAGTGTCGTGACACCAATAGTTGTGGTAGTTTTTTTTCATTTACCCTTAATTCTGATATAAATTAGGGGAAAGAGTACCTATGTTACTCAATACCCTGCATGACTCAATACAGATTTGACATGTCAAATGAATTTCACCCAAAACTCTTTCTATCCTTATAACCAAACAAACACCACCTTCTTCCTCCTTTCTTGCCATGCAGACAACCCCCTCTCTTCTTCGACGATTTTGCCTCTCTGTTCCCTGGTGAGAACAACACCTATTTTCTCCGGCGAGACCAACCCTAAATCCCTCAGTTCTCCGGTGAACCCACCCCAATCCCTCTCTTCTTAGGCGAGCCCACCCCCAAACCCTCTCTTCCTCGGCGAGCTCACCTCCAATCCCTTCCTTCCCTAGCAACCCCAACTCCACCCATCTCTCCTTCGGCGACCCCACTTAGTCCTCTTCGACATCAATCGCACTCCAGTCCTTTTTGATGGGGTTGTTGTTGGGGTGCACGAAGAAAACAAGGCTTGAGGGTGAAGGAGATGATTGATGTTTGGTTACAAAGATAACCAATGTTTGGGGCAATTTTAGATAAAACAGGTGGCCTATTCTCATCGGGCCACATTATGAAGTTAGTAAATTGGGTATTCCTTAGTGAGTACTTAAGTATTATCCTTAGAGAAATAAGTTTGAACTTGAGGGTAGCCGAAAGATCATAATGTGGGAATTTAGGCTCTAAACTGATTAATTATAGTCTATTTTATTTCTTGCTGGTGTATTAATTAAACTGTTTCAAATGGACCACTAAGATTAGTTGGAGTCCTTAGGCTCAGATGTGAATTTTATTTTAAAGGACATTGTTTAGATGGTTGAGATGAGCTCATAGGCGCTCACTTGCAGATTTCAATGGCTGTATGCACTGTTACATTGTAAAAAGGAATATAGGATGAAGAGCAAGACGTGTGCTATCTGAATTTGTTTGAAATCATTATCTTTCTCCTCTGTTTTCTCTCTGCAAAATATACAACACTAACACTGCAATACAGACATCATCATGGTATCAGAGCTCATGTTTGATTTGAATTGGATGTCGTTCACTGTGTGAATCGCAAGAGAAATCCAATGAGAAAACTCTCGGATTCGAATCGATTCAAGCTGAAATGGCTGGATTCGGAAGTGGTGAGCTAAGGACTCCTATATTTGATGGTACTAAGTTCAATTGTTGGAAAGTTCGAATGGTCACGATCTTCAAATCTCAGAGGATTTGGAAGCTTGTTGACAAAGGGAATGTAATTCTAGATTCAAAGAAGAAATCAAGGGAAAAATTGAAGAAGAAGGAGAATTTCTCATAATTTGATGATGGCGATGAAGAAATTGATGCTTTCCTTGAGGAGCAACTCATGATGGATGCCAAAGCTCTGGGTATCATTCAAAGTGTTGTGTTTAAGGAGACTTTCTCTCGAATCGTGAATTAGGAGACATCCAAAGAAGCTTGGGATTTGCTCTAGGAAGAATTTGAGGTGATGGACAAGTGAGGTTAGTGAAATTTTGAGTTTACGCTGTGAATTTGAATACATGAGAATGAAGGACAATGAATCATTATCTGATTACCTTACTGGGCTATTTGACTAGATAAATGAAATAAAATCTTTCGGTGAAAACCTAACCTGTCATAGAGAGGTGCAAAAAGTTTTGATTAGTCTTTCTAAGGTGTATTATCCAATATTTCTAGTAATTGAAAAAACCTCAGATTTAAACACTGTCACTGTGCAAGAGGTTGTTGGTTCACTCAATAGTTATGCGCAACAACTAAATAGGCATGTAGGAGATGGTATGAATTCTTAGAAGGCTTTTGCAAGCATGTGCATTACTTCAAAAGCTCAGAACAAGTCATTTGTTCATGGAGGTGCTAGACAAAGCAAATAACTGGAAATCGAAACCCAAGATGTGGAAAACCCAAACTCAAGCAACCGAGAGGCATGGTGGAGCTACAGATTTGGGTAAACCAATGTGTAGAATTTGTAACAATGCTATATGGGGAGTGTTGGTTCAAAGGAAAGGTTAAGTGTCACAGTTGTGATAAATTTGGACATATAATGAGAGATTGTCATCAACCAAAGAAGGCAAATTATGTAAATCAAGTCCAAGATTTTGCAATGATATTCTATACTTGTCACAAGGCTCCAGTTCAGGAAGATTGTGGAGTTTGGTATCTAGAATGTGGTTGTAGTAACCACATGACTATTTTAACTTGTAGAAACCAAGAAAGGCACTAGATACATTTTGCAAAGCAAAATGGTCACTAAGGACCTTGTGGAATCAGTGGCAAATGAACCTTGTAGACACCAAGAAAGGCACTAGATACATTCCTAAAGTCATGATTCTATAGATACATTCCTGAAGTCATGATTGTGCTAGGACTTGATGAAAATCTGCTCAGTTAGGACAAATGGTATAGCATGTATATTGGCTAGGTGATTTCATGGCCTGCATATTTGGATAGAGGGATTTGCAAGATCACATTGCCCTAGTACAAATGAAAGGAAAAATGTGCTTCCCACTCACATTTGAGTGTGTGGATCTTGTGATGGAAAATAAAGCTATTGTTGCAGGCTCTTCTTGGAAATGACATAGAAGATTTGAATATTTAAACTATGACAGTTTGAGAATACTTCAAGAAAGGAATATGGTATATGGCATTCCACTACTTGCTAATTATGAACTTGTATGCGAAGGTTGTGCAACAGAAAAGGCTTACAGAGAAGCCTTTGCTAAAGACAAAACCTGGAAAGCTTCTATTCCTCTTGAATTGGTTCACACATATGTTTGTTGACCAATGTGAGAGACCCTTAGAGGCAAGTATTTCTTCACCTTCATTGATGAAAAATCAAGAATGTGTTGGGTATATTTTTTGAATAACAAGTCAGAAGTGTTTGTTGTTTTTAAAAAGTTTAAAGCCACAGTAGAGTTACAATGTGATTTCAAACTAAAGAAGCTCAGAAGTGGTAGAGGAGGAGAATACAATTCATTGGAATTTGAAAGGTTTTGTGAAGATATTGGAATTAAAAATCAACGATAGTAGCATATTCTCCACAACAAAATGGAATCGATGAGAGGAAAAATCATACCATTGTGGGAATAGCTAGAACTATGTTGTATGAGAAGAAACAACCATTAAAAATCTAGGGTGAAGCAGTTGTTGGGGGACTTTTAGGCAAAGTTGGACTTGGGCTTTGAGAATGTCCTCTTGTCTCCCTTGGTTTGGTTTAGTACCAAGTCCTGAAATATTTCAAAAGAGTTAGTTCGACTTAGAAAATATCCCGATTAGATCAATGACTCGAATGTTAGAATGATTGAACGAATAATGAATTGATCAAGAGAAGCGTGGTGTAGAAGCTAGAAGTTCATTAGCTTTTGCATGAAAAAGAGAGATTGGGTGGTTGTATTGTGCTTTATGTTGTATAACCTAGGTTTCCTATGGTGATGGCAAGGTTTATGATAGTTGGGATACTAAGAGGAAGGACATGGAAAATACTAAAGTTGCAAGGTGATATTTCTGGGATTTTTCTGGTTCTTTGTGTGAAGCTGGAGGATCAGGGGATCCCCTTTCTAAGGTTATCTCCACTTATTTGTAGCTGAATGACCCCTTGCCAAGGAATCTTTATTTTGCTTTTGTTTCTCCCTCCCTCTTGCTTCTCCTTCCCGAGACTCGCTTTCCCAGGTCAGCTTTCCTCAGGCGCTACTTTTAGTAGCGTGCCTTATGGCTTTCGCGCGTTGAACTTCTGCGTACGCTAGGAAGGAAAAGTCAGCATTAAATGCCTGTTTTGAAGGGCTTTCACATGAACTTAGGGCTGGCATTTGGTTAGTCCTAACTGAA